CCTTTGGGATGGCTCTGCTACATATCAACTGGCCACTTTAGATTCAATTGACAACCGTGCCAAGACACTTATAGGTGACTCGCAATTAGTGAAGGCGGAGCTGCAGAGCCTTGAACACTGCCGTAAAGTTGCCTGCTTATCGGTATTTTACAGGATATATCACGGAGAGTGTGCGATGGAATTACACGATTTAATTCCGCCTTCCTCTTTCCATCACCGGGGGACTGGGCGTAGGCTTGGGTTCCACCCCAATGTTATGGATATTCCAAAGATTCGCACGAAGCGTTACGCTTCAACATTTATATGGCGAACGGCTATGGAATGGAATTCCCTGCCTGCAGACTTGTTCTCTGAACGTTATAACTTGGGTCTTTTCAAGGCGAGAGTGAATAGACATTATTTAGGTGTGCATGCTCCATCGCCAGCCTCATCGTCAATTTCCATCAGGTGAGATGGAGGTCAAATGCGCACTTATATTTTATAAAAAAAACTCTTCATACAAAAATAAAATTGCCGCCCCCACACCTCAAGTGTTTGTCACTTCATAAAATACGAAATGTCACATTAATAAGGTGCATGTTTTTGTATTACAGACCTTGATTGAATGTATTTTCTGTATTAAAGTGATTTGATATGTGGTTACTTTTGTCCACCACTAGAATCATCTTCATTGGCCGTTGGCCGCACCGTTCAAAGACGCTTGGTGGAGGCACACTTATTTGGGAGAGTAACAAGGAAGGTGCCCATAGTGACACATAGACAGGCCCGACTTGCGTTTGCAAGGAAGTATGGAAACTGGTTAGAGGCGCAGTGGAAGTATATACTTTTCTCCGATGAAACTAAAATTAAGAGACTGCTCTGATGGCAAGCAGTATGTACGCCGAGCTAAGAACATGGCATTTAATCCAAAATATACAAAAAAGACGGTGAAGCACGTTGGTGGAAACATTAAAATTTGGAGTTGCTTTTCGGGTTATGGAACTATTAGGCTGATACAACGTAATATGACCCAATACCAATAAAAACACATCCTTGAAGAACGTAAGCCACCGTACGGTGATGACAGATAATTTATTAATTATATAGTATAATACAGCCTACACTGAAGATTCCTCAACAGCTAACTGGTAACTGTGTTGGACCGGCCACCAAACAGCCCAGATCTTAATCCAATAGAACATCTATGGTGTCCAGTCAAAACGAAATTGACAAACAGTTGGCGAAGCAACGTGAATAAATTGTACGCTGCGTTTTTAGAAGAATAGAACTCTTTTTCACTTGAAAACTGTAATAGAGTTAATAGAGTCGATGCCGCGCCGCGCCGCTACCATACCCGTTATCCACACTTCAGGACAGGCTATTAAATATTAAATAATTCATTTTTTATTTATCATTACATTATTAAGAAATCGTTGTTAAATTAATTAAAATATACCACTTCTCAAATTATTGAAATATTGTGAATGCTACAGTCAAGTCCCTACTTCGTTCTTAATTGTTTGTCCAGCCTCTATAGTCACTAGCTAGCACTATAGTCAATATTTTCCAGGAAGGGTTATTATGTTTATTATGAACATTTGTATATCAAAATGGTGGCGTATTATGAAGCATTCTTAATTATATGACCACCACTGATTTGCATTCACGCCATATTATTTAAGAAATTAATAATAGAAATAATGCTACAGTCAATTCGGGTAACTTTGAATCGTGGTGTAACTTTGAACGTAGTTGCGTAAAAGATGTATAAATTTATTTTATGTGTGACAATCTTTTATTTTTAGTATTGAAACTGTGTAAATCGGAACAAAATTGTTAAACGAAAGTTATGAAAGAAAAAAGTAATGTTAAATTGTATTTTTTTAAACTTTCGCGGTTTTTTCTTGGCGAAAGTAGTTTGGTGTGATTTGTTGCTCAGTTTTAGAATCGGAATTAAATATATAAATCTGAATATTGACTGGTAAGTTTTGGTTTCCACACTTAAGTAGAGGTTTATATATCGCTTTTTTAAAGAATAATTTAATTTGGTTTTGTATTTACGCGTAAAACGAATTAGATTTTGACGACGTTACCAAACAGAGAAATTTGGGTAACTTTGAATGTGTTTGACTGTGTTTTTAGAGAAGAGGGTAGTCTATTTCCAGGGAGAGTTCTAAAAGTTACTCCTTTGGAAATTACTGTCTCAGTGCTCCAAAAATGCTTTTTAGGAGGTTGGTCTTGGCCCTCTAGCGTTGAGACATGTCAAGTTAATAAAGCCGATATTGTGAATATTATAAAAGAGCAACAGCTATCTAGAAAAGACGGCCGTATTTATATTGATGACGACATTTTATTTAATGAGTGGGGTGAATATTTGTTATGTATTTACTTAAAATAATTGCCTAAAATAATTGTTATAGGTGATTCATTTTGATCTCGTTTGATAGCTAAATAAGCGTAGAAATTATTATTAAACAGAAAATTTTCATTTTTATTCGCATTAATTAAAAAATCTAAAAAAAAAAAACAAGTTTTTCATTTCAACTAAATTAGTTCGTCTCGTTTTATTATGGCAATACCAAGTCAAATGTCGTTTTTGAACACACTGTCAGGAATATTTGGACAGTTTCACATCTAAAAAATATGAATATGTCGTATAATCTTCCACAAACTGTAAAATATCTAGAAAATATACGGTTTCCATATCGAAGGCTAATCTTATTCAAAGTTACCCAAAATTCAAGGCAACTTTGAATGTGACTTTTGGAGCAAATCTAGAACAGTTTTGTTGAATAATTACTAAATTCCTTCTATAATAACGAAAAAAGGGCTTAAAAGAACACTATTCAGTTAATAAAGTAATTGTTAAGAAACATAATTAAATTTGAAATTATTAGAAAAACGCCAAAAAATGTTCAAAGTTACCCGAATTGACTGTAAATCATCTAAAAATATTAAAAAAATATTCTGTTCAATATTCTGGCTAATTGTATCTAGGCTCGAACACTATAATGTGAGTTTCATTTTTTATTTAAAGTAGGTAAGTGAACTCCCACGAGCCGCCTCTGCCCCGAGCCCTTCCGCTCTTAGGCCTCTCTTTGCTTCGAGCTCTACTGCTCTTAGCATCAACTTTGGAGCGGCTGACTACTCCTTATAAATAAGTCTAGGTCAACATTTTTTCTTTCTCATCTGGAGCGGATGACGACTAAAGAAAGAAAGAAAGAAATTTAAGTAAATTAGACATTCATATTATAGTAAATATTACTTGGAACTCTTTCAGGAATCAGGAAAAGCAAGGGCGTTTTCTAGAAAACGTATAATGAGAGATGAAGATGATAGGGGTCCGTAGTTTCACACTACAATACTTACTGTTCTTTTGACATAACGTTTAAATTAAATGATTAATTCGATCACCAAAAGGAAGATCTGTCATTCTTTCGACCAAACGTGGATCGACATATAATGTTATCGATCAGTACCACAAAAGTAAATAGTTCTTTCGACCAAAAGTTCATCGACAAGTAATGTTTTCGATCAATAACATAAAAGCACAAAGTTCTTTCGATTAAACTTGATTGGGTCATTCGTTTATCCGATCATCAATAATCTAACATTCATTCGACCTCATGTTAATCGACCAAATGAATTTCGATCTTGGGTACGGCACTCAGTAACGTTTTGTAAAATTGTTCCCCAAGTGTGTTCACCGCAGAAGACAGTGACCCCGCCACTTGCTTCACCGAGCGATACGTAATCTTTCTCGATCGCTTGTTTACCTATTTTTTCAATCATGTTTATGTACTAGTATTGTTATAATTTAATAGATTAGTTGGAAAAGTTGATTGAAAAAAGATTGTTCGTAATTTAGATTTGGTACTTACCAACTTTAGGTTACACGAAAGTAGTGCTAGTCTACCTAGATTCACAGCTGGTGGTAAGCTCCGTATCGGAGCCAGCCAAAGATATGCAGAGTTTCGTTTCAACTTAGCACATTCTTCACAACAGAAAAAGCAGAACGAAACTAAAGACGTTTTTGCGCGCAATTCTCGACACTCGTAATTTGCGTAAACTAAACGTTTCATATCATGCCATAAGAACGCACTTGATGGTTAATGCACATGGTAGCGGTTTTTTTTATGCACTAACTCTTGTTTACATCACACCACGTTGCATTTCGTGAGAAACTAGAACGTATGCGCGATGTCGACTGATAATCTACCAATCACATTCTCGATACGATACGCTCCCCGTCTCTAATCGTACCCTGCCACCAAATAGATCTAAAAATCATATTTTCTGCGCATTCTGCGCATAGATCATTGTTCAAATGGTTGCCGGTACCTGTGACACGGGTAGTGCAAGTCAATGACCTTTGGATCAAACTTGGTTACCGGAATGAAATAAAAAATAAGAATTTAGGATGTTTTTATTTATTTTATTTTAGAATGACCTCTGTAAATATATCTAATTTACTAATTACTAATAACCTAATTTACTTAACTTCAACATAGTTTCACTTTGTTAAGGCTTACGACACGGTTACCGTTCCCCGAAAGTGTGGCAAGCTTTGGAATACACATTTTATGTATCAAGTAAAACAATTTTTTTCGGATATTTCATGAATAATCCGAAAATTTGGTGATTGGTAGTATACCTACCTATACCAAATAGCGTTAATTTTTAATGTACTTTAGTGATGTCCCGAGTCCCGAAAAAGTCGGGAACAAATGAATGTCGTCGCAAGGAAGTCTCCAATTTCCGTCTCAGGGAGTTTAGGTAAATATAATCTACCTATTCCGAACACTGGTTATACAAGTTTTTGTACCACATCCCCGGTTTTTTTGTACCACATACACACTGTATATAAAAAACGCTATCAAGTGGTAACCTGCTGGAGATACGGCGTTGCGACCTGTCATAGCCACTGCACAACCTAAGCTAAGCATTGCCGTCGACCTAAGTATTGAAATTGTACGTACAGTACGTAACGATACGACATGACTGAACAAAGAGGTACTTACATCAGCGATGGCGGACTGCGGCTTGTACGCGGCATAGCGGCTGAGAGAAGGCACGACGGGACGCTCGACACATGATGGCGTGCTGCGACCTGACGAACTGCAGCGCACAACGGCCGCGACGAAGTGCCCAAAACATATTATTTTTATTATACACCACATTATACAAAGATAAATTTGATTAATCCGAGTCACACTAAGCGACGACACGTTTTAAACTTAGTTTTACTCAGAAATTGTAATTTCAAATTATTGATTCTCCGTCCAAGCATGATTTGTAGGGAAAATTAGGAATCATAGGAAATATTTTTCTCCCTTAAAATAATCATTAGGAGAATAATATTTATTTTATTCAATACCGTGATGTTTTTCTAACATGATATACAATTTTTGTGACCGCAGTGAATGCAGTGCGCATTAGTTTATTATTATTTATTATGTTAGGTCTAGAACTAACATAATAAATAGGTATTGTAGATACCTACAAAGAAATAAATCTAGATAGAACGGCGATGTGGGCGGGACACACGAGTCATAATCTTAAAATATCATCAAGATTCCCCGCTCCCTCAGTACGCGTAGATTCTTGTTTGGACCATTCACATTTCTGCAATTTTTTTTTGTGCATATATATTAAAAAACGATATACTTGTATTACTTAATCAATTCATATTTAAAATTAATCGATGTAGTTTATATTAATATGATTTTTATTTATATTTAAACAATATAAATATTTATTTAAATCATCATTAAGAAAGTGACGAAAATGTCACTTCCATGTCGTGTGTAAAGTCCATTTACAATTATACAAATTAAAATTAAATATATTTATCTGTAATAAATAAAGTAATCTATATTACGATAATACATAGAATAAACTTTCTAAAAAACGCTATTGCAACATAAACAAAATAATGGATTCAAAATATTTCATAACGTTTGTGCATGAAAAAAATTGTCACCTCCATGCATAAACTTATTGAACGCAGCCATAATTTATTAAATCAGTCAACACAGTTTCTGAACAATTACAGACAACAAACACAATGCCATCTTGAAAGTTTTTGACAGCGTGACACTTCCGGGATAATAATTTTGGTGCGATGACCTATAAGGTACGATTCAAAAATAGCCTGCCTGACACAATTTCCATGGATTTGTGTCACTTCCGTGGAGGCGTTTTTTCTTTTTTTCATAAAAACTATAGTGATAATAGCTATATTGTAGTATACGGTACGTTTCATTTGGGACTACTTTGAATAATATCAGAAAACATTTTTTTTTTATTTTAAGTCCGTTTTTGAGAATGGCCCGTTTACTTGCACTTGCCATATTGTGCTGTTTCTAACTGCCTAAACTAAAGAGCGAGTGTCAGCCGGTTAAAAGGAAACATCACCTTTCACGGTTAAGTCATTTTCAATAACTTAAAATCCTGGAGGCCTACCAGAACCTCTAAAAACAATATTATTTTAACCTTACATTCACTTTTCGTAGCATGACGCGCTTAAAGTAAGCTTACTAAAATATTAAAAGTATGATGTTTTATTGGCAGTTTTGTGACTATTCATCCACTTTATTCGTACGATGACGCGACTTTGTCATTAAAAAAATATTGTTCTTAAGTCAAATAAGTCAAATTTAAGTTGGATCTATTTTATGGTTGGACAAAGCGGTGAATATGGCGTTGTGACCTATTGACACAAATGCCTTCGCGTAATCCACGAAGCCAAGATAGAGTGGGATTTTAAATTCTGTGTGCTTCTCTATTGCCTGATTGATGGCGTGGAGGTGATCGGTGGTGAAAAGTCCTCTTCAGAATCCTGTTTGTTCTGGTGGTTGTTCCAAGTCCAGTAACCTTCCAATGGGGTACTCGATTACTTCGATTAATGCCTTGTACAGGTGAGAGACAAGGCTAATGTGTCTGTAATTATGGATGTCGGACTTGTCACCTTTTTTGTGTAGGAGAATAATGTTAGAATGGCAAAATTGGTAGCGAAAGATGCCTGTTTTTAAGATGATGTTAAACAAGCTGGTAACATGAGGAAAATGTGCATGTTCACCCAATTTGAGCGCCTCAGTGCTTATACCATCTTCTCATAGTACACGGTTACATTTCATGCTTTTGAATACAGCATGAACTTTGGAGTCAGTAATAAGACGTATTGTGTCCGAACATGAATATATATTTTCAATCGGCTGTGATCCCTCTGGGGTAGAGGGCTTAGAATACAAGGCTTTATAAAATTCAGTAGAAATTATTAGATTTTCTCCCTGTTTTGGTGTTTTATTCCGTGTTCGTCCTTCAAACTAGAAATCCATGATTTTCCATTCGCAATACCTTGCTTCGCAATTTTTAGTGAACAGTAATTGCTTAGGTCACTTTCTATCTAACTTAGATTATATTTTTGTACATCTTTCCTTATACTTCCCTTTACTTGTTTGTATTTCATTCTAAAAGTTACGCTACTTTTATGTAAACCTAGGCTCGATCTTTTCTTCATTAACTTCTCTGTTTCATCAGACAGCTTTCGCTTGATGCGCGGCTCTTGTTTTATTTTATAGCTATATTATATTTTATATCTTTGAATAAAACAAATAATAAAAAAAGTGCACATTTACGATAGATTATATATATATATAATCACCAATTATATATTATATATCAACCTGTAAAGCCTATTACATATTTGGTATTTGTAGGAGGTACAACCTCACGTATTTAAAACACGTACCTATTAAAATGTAATGTTACTATCATATTGTTTTATTTTCTTATTACCTGAATAACAAACATCGATACCGATAGATTTCAACAAAATATTTATGTTACTTCACTTATTTATTATGCACTCAAAATCACGTAGTGGGCGGGCGGAGTTTTGCAAAAAGATGACATGTTTGATCTCTTTAAAAAAAGTGCAACATCGCCGTTCTATCTAGATTTATTCCTGTGGGTGAAGAACCTAGCTGAGTGAAGAAAATTTCATAAGTTTCTCACAGGTATCATTTACCCAATATAGAGATCTGCAACAAGAACTTAGAGAAGTTCGTTAGAACTGGTGGCTCGATTTGTAGCTCAGTAAGAACTGTGGCCCCGGCGTGACAACAGACGCTAGTTCGAGTCCAGTCAGACGAAGGATATTTTCTTTGTGTTGTTCTTCCTCCATTCATCCTTGTATCAATAATAACTGCCTCTGTGGCCGAACGGTTATCATGCCGACTGCCACGCAGAGGTTCCAGGTTCGACACCCGGGCCGGGAGAAATATCTCTATGGCCTACATTTATTTCTCTCGTGAGTTTGGGTGTAATTTGTGGTTGTCTATGTGTGTGGCCATTGGCACCTGCGACACAGGGTTTCCCCAGTGCGGGGCTATGTTGAGTGTGTGCGTTAATATTATTATTATTATTAATTAGGATAAAAAGTTGTATATTTTTCTAGAGTACTATAAGGCCTTAGGGACACTGGGATTAATAAATATCTTTTCGCCGCTCTCGTGATTGCGACTTCACTCCTCAAAACACATGAACTAGTATAAATTTTATCTTCGTTTTACTACTAAGTAGGACTTATAGTATTCATACGACTAACCTGACGCGCGTGTACGGGCTTAACTTAATTCAAAATGTTTCTTGTGATCGTCCAACATCTGTTACAAGTATATACATATATTAGTCATGTATACTGAGGTGAAATCGAAGTCCAAAAATATAAACAAACAAGTGTCACTGTCAAAGTGACATCTCAGATCATTTTTCCGGTTCGTTTATGAAGTTTCTAGTCATTATAACACGAGTAATAATGGAATTGAAACTGGCCCGGCACAAAAAACCATCTCAGATTTGCTTTTTAGATTAGGAATAAATCTTTGATTGCGGTGATGCAGTTCGTTCAGGTGGGGATGCAAACCGACGACCTGACCCGTTATCCATCCCTATTGACCAAAAATCTAGATTTTATTTTTATTGTCTTTATATTAATATAATATATCTTTAGATTAAAAAAAATCAATTTATAATTTTCATTATTCTTAACCACAAATATTATTTTTAATAAAACATAAAATCTATTACATGTATTATAATTGAAATAATTTTGTATTTATATTATAGCAATAAGTTATAGTTTCTATAGCTTCTGGTTAAAACAACTTGTGTTTATACACTGAATAAAAAAAGAGATTAATCAAAAAGGCCAACCAAAATTTGTGCATCCCCGAAACATCGCTAATAGGATAAAAATATTTCCACTGGGATCAGTTTTCTGAGCTTATCTTATGAAATATAAATTATGATTTGATAATACATTGCTTGCATAATAACAATATAAAACATGCATTAATTTTTCATCTTTTGACATTTCCACTATTCTTAAAATCCTTTTTGTAATGGCATTAAATTTATTTACATTTTTGGACTTCGATTCCATGTCAGAGTACGTTTAGTAAAGGTAATAGGACAATGTTTACTATTGTTACTATAAATAATTATACTTTTCTAGGCTGCATTCTTTAGGCCACTACAGTAGCAGTACAAAAAACTTGGGTCTTAATATAGACAGATGAATGCATAAAAAAATCTATGGTTTTCAAACCGTTATGCATTATTGTGGAACCTTATAAATGAACATTTTTAACCACTTTTGTTCAAACACTTCTCACAGCACAAAACTTAGCCAGACAAAGGTTCCTACACGGTAAAAACAGATTACTTAGAAAAAGACAAAATTCTTTTTATGAAGACAAATTTATTAAATCCAACAAAACGATCTTCTCCCTATAGACGCTAGAGAATAATTACTTGATAATAGTAAAAAAACGTCTCAAAAGTGTATTTTCGTTACAAGACAGAAATATTTAATCCAAGAGCAAATTAATTTACTTCAAGTCACAAAGCCACTCTAGATTCAACAAAATATTTATTTGTTACTAGAAATGTCCGATTTTGATTTGAAAAAAAAAAAAGAATGAAAAATTGAGAGGTACTTAATTATTTGACTGAAGATTTATGTTTTCTAATATCAAAAAGGATAAATTTACAGGGTTATGGACCCAACAGTGCCAAACCTTGAAGTAGCAGAAATAGGATGGAAATATGGAATCTTCTCAAATACTTGAGGACCATCCAGTGCCGTATAAATGCTACAGCGGCAGAAAGCACTAACAATCCCAAATATATGAGATGACTTTATACTATTGAAGTTAACAAAACGATAGCGCGTTTCAGAGTACATCTAATGCCATCTAGCAGTGGCGTGATGGAACTAATTGCATGTTATACTTGTTACAAGTGTAGTTTGATTTCATGCTGTAACCAAATTTCTTAAATTATGACTATAAAGAACACCCTAACAAACTAGAGATACTACGTATTGTTTCTTTGGATAAATGACTGTTTATGATTTTTATGATTACAAGCATAAGTAAAAGTAATCGTTACCGCGTGCGCCTTCGGCGACATGTCACGACAAGATTGACTATGAAAACGCAACGAAATGTTGCTTTAAGAATATACTCTAGAATTTAGAATATTAATCTGAATAGAAAACTACTTCTTTTTTTGTTTAAGAATATATTTTCTTAAAATACACCCAAGAAATTTTGAATTCATTTAAGATTATTTAAATTTGATGTAAGAGGTAAAAATTTCTTGATATAAGTAATGTCCAATTAATTGATTAGAAATGAAATAAAATCTTGAAGTGAACGTATTTGTCTCAAAGTTAGAATAAAGTTAAGAGTAAAATTGTATTAGAAAAAGATAAGCAGTATTTTTGTAGTGACAATATTTTATTACTTTTAATAAATATTTTTTCAGAATTAGCAAATATTTTGAGAAATTGCTCTTTCTTATTAGTAGAAATCCTTTTTTTCTGTGTACGTATGTACATTTGTGTGGCTAAGTTTTGTGCTATAAGTGTGTGAAAACCTAAAACAAAAATGTGTGATTATCATATTACAAATAAGTTCATTGACGAAAACATCGTGAGGAAACCCAAGCATGTCCTAGATATGTAGAGTTCTCAACCCGCATTGGGTCGCGTATGAGTGAAAATTAATGCTAATAAAATCAGAATGTAACCTGTGTTATAACATTCAGCACTAATTCCATGTAATCATTCTGATCCACAGCCCACGCGTTTTTTCTCGAGTGTACCGGAATATGCACGCGACATACAAGCGTTAATAATCCACATAATTCCTAATATCATCATGCAAAAGTAACAGCATTATTATGTGCTAATTTGCTTGCATTGAAACATTGATTAATATGCAAACCACCTCTAAGTATCAAGTATCAAAGCTAACGACACACTGTCATGTAAAATTTGGCTTCCAAATTATACCTTGTTGTGCCGATCCCACCAAGCGTGGGATTAGGACAGGAAGAAGATAGTACCTTGTAAAATAAATCTATTATGTCTTCGTAATAAAAAATCCCAATAAAGAATTACTTCTTTTGGGTACCTATAATCAAATTTAATCAAAGTTCTGTAGTTTTTTGAGATTGACGAAAGGGTTTGCCGGAATAAGGTTACCCCTTTTGCGACGATGCTGGAAAAAAGCACGCTCGCTTCAGATTATACCTTGTTGTGCCGATCCCACCTAGCGTGGATTAGGACAGGAAGAAGATTGTACCTTGTAAAATAAATCTATTGTCTTCGTAATAAAGAATCCCAATAAAGAATTACTTCTTTTGGGTACCTACAATCAAATCTAATCAAAGTTCTGTAGTTTTTTGAGATTGACGAAAGGGTTTGCCGGAATAAGGTAACCCCTTTTGCGACGATGCTGGAAAAAAGCACGCTCGTTTCAGTAGTTTTGGAGAAGATCGCGGAAATACGTACATAATAATCGAGACCTGAAGCTCCCTTTTTAAAGTTGTTTAGATACAAAATGAGTGAGCGTTAACCCCGGAATGATGTCATCAGCACGCACCTTATGTCCTCGACGGAGTCGAAGAACGACGGCGCGATGGCGAAGTTGTTATTTTGGCGCACCAGCCGCTCCACACCGTAGTTTTTACGTAAGAATTGCTCCATTTTTGGAGAAGGCCCATCCACCGCTAACTGTTCAGCACGTACACCGAGGTCCTGTGCAAGGTAATTAGTTAGTAATGTCCAGCTCGTATTGAGAGCGCGGGTGTGGTGAGGTTGCGTTACGCACGAGCAGCATGTGGTCGAAAAGCGCGCGGCCCATTCCGCGTCGTTGCCGATCGCGCTTGACGTAGAAGTCGAGGACGCATAGAGGCTCGACCTCGCGCATTTTGTCGCGCTCGTCGAATAGGAATAGACGTTTTCGCCCCACCTTCAGCATACCGATGACCTCGCCTTTACCCCTGCGACATTTTTCACATTAAGATAATTGTATTGAAGCAGTTGCAATCTAGAGGGGAGAATTGCCTTTCATGCGAGTGGATCGAATTCAAATCCAGCTACCAGCACTCCGTGTTTTTGGTGCCCTTAAGATGAAGACATTCCAACAAACCAAAAGTTAAAACTTGCAGGTCAGAATGGGTACAAAACTCTTCAAAAACATGTGAACCATTGGCCCTGAATTACTAAATGACCTTAACTTTTCGCTCAGCAGTATGTCTTGTAAGGCTTGATATATAATAATAGCAAGCAAATATTTGTTAGAACAGAAACACTACACTGTTATATTGCATACACTATAGTGAAAATATACAATGCAAATACAACTCGCAAACTGCTGCTATCAATTTACAGTCACGCCATTAATGGAGCATCTTTGGTTCAAATGACATCGCATTTAACTATGCTGTTTCAAATAATAGAAGATTCCATAGCACACACATATGTTTGCAAACTCCTCTATATTATTACCTACGATTGTCGCTTTACTATGAAAGAATGTCAGTCAAGATTGATGTTGATTAAATACAAAATATACTAACTTTTCTTTTGAGTGAAACTGAAGAAATGCAGGTTGTACGCACAATTAACAAGGACACAATATATGCACTACTACAAGTTATATACACAAATTTTAAATTGGGTAACTTGCAGTCAGCAATTCACTACTTAAACATATGACCTGTTTAATATAAATACTTTAAAAAAAGTAACAGTGAAAACCTTAATAAAGGTTTCAGAATATTTGGGTTAGATTTCTTGCAGGTAGTGATCACTCTTAGTCTTGCTGTCATCATTTCCTTGCTGCATTTAATATTTCTGGTTAAACAATTGCTTTAGCAGTGAAGAAATACAAGAGAAAACCTGCCCACTATGATAAGAGCTCAAAAGTTGAGCAAATTATTTCAGACCAATTAAGCCTTACTGTTGCAGGAATCAAGTAGAGGAAACAAACACAGGACTATTATTATATAATATTATATTGACTATGTTGCCAATAATGGCCATAAATGTTGTACTTGCTTGCTTAGAAAATATGCATAAACTGGTACAAACCCCTTGGCATGCGCATCCTTGAGCAGATACAGCAAATGCGTGGGCGAGTTGCGTAACTTCTCCGTGGTGGTAATCACTTTGGTGAGGCCTTGTTCTGCAGCCGATTCCTCGCCTAGTGTGTTGATCACACGTGATAGACTGTCCTGCATCATTCTGCAATACAATGCATAAAGCTGATTTACATGATTTGGTCAAAACTTGCACTTTACGCTGCTGTTTTAAACATTGCAAGAATAAACAAACAAATAAAATTAAAATTGCCTTTATTCACGCATCAAGTTTTGTATGTTAATTATAGAAGTATACTGTGCATATAGCAAAGACTTAAATTTTTTTTAATGCCTACATAGCGTTATAACTGGCTGTGATCTCTGCCTAACCCAATGGAAAAGAGGTTGAACGTGATATGTAGCATTTCTACATGGTTCAGGCTGACTTTAAATTGATTGAACATTTTATATTGGTTGAAGTCTTATTTTCCTCCAATGTGTGGATTATACAACTGCCGTCTACTAACTAAAACATGGCTAAGTGACAAATGGTCAAATAACCATTTTAAATACCAAAAAATGCAGCACAATATTCTCTCATATAAACAGTTAAAATTAGTTCGCCTTCTCGGAACATACCCTAACAATGCATAGCTGAAATATCATTAAACAATTTCAATATTCTAAAACTGGGTTATGGTTTTCTATAGTTTCCATTTTAGGTAGCAGATGGCAGACAAAACGTCATGACATTATAAAAAGTATATAGTCATTCTATTTATTTAACTTTTGTTAGCACAAGTACCTTGAAAGCACAGCGCACCTACAACAGCAGGCAATGGTTGCAAATCCAATACAATAGTAGCCACATTTCAGTTGATTAAATGGATTTGTTACAATTGTATTGATGTCACAAAGTTTGTAATGTGTTGTATCCCCATTGTTTGTTATATGGATTTTTTGTTATATGGGTGGAAACTCCAGGTGACCCACATTACCAGAACCCACTAAGAGTGTAAGATCCCCAGTTCAATCGACTGCTTAAGTGTATCCACATCTTTTTCTTAAGAACTAACATGCACATAATAGGTCTCACTTGTGATAAAGGAAAAAATAATACAGTGTGCATTGCATGTCAGAGAGGGTAGACAAAAATATTTGAAAAGAAAGTTACCAATATCAATAACAGATAAGAGCATAGGATAATATTAGGCTGCTTTGAAATAAATCAAACATTTAATTGATGCACTTAGATTTACGAGAAAGAATGGAAAAGCCAATGTCAGCTTTCGAAGGCTGTTGAATGTAGGCGGATTTTAATAAGATGTTAAGGCAGTACTGTGGGACTGGGTAGGTGTGTCACAAGGGTACAAACCTGAAGTCGTGGGCAACTCCGAGGAAACGCGGCACGACGAGAGTGTGGGTGATCATGGTGATGTCATCACGGAGCATTTCATTCACGGGCAAGCTCCACTCCATTTTATTTGCTTACCCTCGCTTTTCCAAACTCACAAATTCGACCAATCAACCACAACAATCTGCAACGTTATACTAATTTCCGCCCAAACTGTTACTATCAAAAGTTTGTGTAACAAAAATTTCACTCGCTTTTCTTTTAAAAAATCAAATTAACAACGAAATCCAGCGGGTGTCGATCAGTGAATGGTGAATGTTACAAAATGTCTATACACCACAGAACAGACCAAAGAGTAGGATCTAGGAACAGAGAGACCACCCATTAACTTAACTGTACAAAAAAACTTAACTGTCAAAAAAAGCGCGGGAAACCTTTGAAATGCAGAAGTGTTTTGTTGCTTAAATTTTAAATCATTCTTTATTGGGATCATAGTTATTTGTGTGAATTTTTGTACTTATTTACTGTATCTTTTATTTATACCTTATTTTTTATGTTCTGTAATTTGTAGAGTCTTCGTAAATAAGTAAGTTTTTTCGTTATTATGGGGGTCCGTGGGGGTCGATCCTTCAACAACCCAAGCAGAATGTGGTCCCAAATTTATAAAAATTATATGCTTATTGTATGCATTACCATTTGCGAAGTGTAGTAAAAAACATTTACTGAATAAAAATAAATTAATAAAATATTACGGCTGTTTTTAATAAAACTTGTTTTTTATTTCTCGAGATAATTATGTGGGCAATTTATATTAAATTAGAACACTTTGTCTACTTCGTATACCTTGTACAGATTTCGTGTGATACGCAATAGTAAATTTCCTAGAAGTGCTTTCACGTACCACTATTTTTTTTTAAATTATTGCTGGCCATGGAAACAAAGTCCTTCAGCCGAAAACATAAACGTTTAATTATATTTCTGTAAATATGGCCACCACAAAGAGGATAGGCAATTTGAGGCGACGTGTTTGGATTGACTCGGGCTTCCTTAGAACGGGCCGATACGGGTATTTTAGTTCGAGATTCGTATAATTTCGCGTTTTGATCTTCGATTAAGGCACAATTGCACTATCCTATACCACTTTAAAATAGATTTCACAAAATAATTGAAAGTCAAAATAAAAACGACACTTTTCCCTCCAAAAAGCCCAGAGCGAATCCTCACGCACCACTAACGAGTACAGTATGACCATATTATAATCAGAGATCCTGCCTTAGTGTAGCAAGAAAACCGACAAATCCTGCCACATTCTCAGTGCAGAAATGCTAAAATACTGTCAAATTAATTTGTATAACATAATGGACTAAAAATAGATAAAAAAGAGATATTTTACATTTATATTTTTTTATAATAACATATTACATATTTTAAACACGTGATAACGCTGTACTGCCAAATCTGCCAGATTATATTGCTAATACTGTCAGATCCTGCCAATTTCATAAAACGTCAACCCAACCTGCCAAAGATAAAACGAAGGGGATAATCCTGCCAAAAAGGCAGGATCCTGCCAAATATGGTGACGAGTGAGCGAAGCGGATTCGGCGAGGCGAGTAGACTTGTGCCTGATAGGCCCTTAGAGGGAGCGATCGTAGTTAGTTCAATCGGTCAACTGAACTAGGTCGGTCTTTTAGTTCCTGTAGTTCATTTAGTTCCATAGTTAGTTAGTTCGTCATGTCCTTGCTCGGACACTGAATGAACGCTCCAAACTAGTCATTTTATTCACATGAACTACTACGGACTTCTCGTATTAAGAGATCAATAATACACTGTACTAAATTATTTAAAAATGCAATTTGTATGGAATCGGTACTATTTGATTTTCCTTCATATTTTACATGTTTAAAAACTATCATTCTAACTAAATATCCTTTTTGTTTATACAAAACAAGAATTTTAGTTATAACGGTGTGTTTAAAATATTATATTACAATATTTAGGTACGGACAACGGCACACCAGACTACACATTTTTGTTCGAAAATCGCCTCCAGTGCAACGGAACAAGATACGTCAATGTGTGGCTTGATGTGCTGGCGTGTGTACATATATACAACTATTTCATATACTTTCACGTACACGTAGGTTGACATTATACATACAGATACCTACCAAAACATACGAGCACTTACTTTTTTGCAAGCTTACATATTATATACATAATACAATTATGTATCTACATTAGTAGATACGTATTAGAGAAGACTTAGAACGAGCTGGCAACGTTCAATCGTGCATCCCACTCGAACTTGTACTAAAAGCAGTGAAAGATCGCTATTTGTCCCGCTCGCACCGTTTCTACTGCCTAAAAGACAGGTGAACTATCAAGGCAGACAGTTCCTAGTTCGTACTGAACTAAAAAGAACGACGAACTATTAAAACCGTACAAGACGAACTAGTTCATGTCGGTTAGTGTCTGGAATATATTCCTAATAGTTAGTAGTTCTGAATGAACTATGCAAGCCTAGAGGCGAGTTATGAGGGGTCTGCAGTGTCATTGTGTCGCGCGATAAACGCGCTTAGAAGAAAAGCGATTTGTGAGAGTCAGAATGGTGGGTGTATCTTAACGAATCGTGACAAATTTAGTTACTAAAAAATTTAACTATTGTACTTTAACACTTGTGCTTTAAAAAATTATACCTCCATCAGCATCAGAACGAAGTTAACTAACATGTCAAACGTGTACCCGCCATATTGATAAATAAGGGATTTTTTTTTTTAAATTACGACAATATTTACAATTTTGATTTAGCTTTAATTTCGTTCTGATTGAGGTACTATTTTTTTTAAGAATAGGTACTAAACAGAACGCACAATTTAGGTACATTTGTTTGGTACTAAATTTGTCAGGATTCGTAATGATACCTACACCCAACCATCTGACTCTCAACAAATTTAGTCTTATTTTTCAGGAACTAATCAGCAGGCCGAGTTGGCGTTTCGTATAGTATAATTTGTTGATATAATAAGTTTTTGTAATTATTAAATAAAACGGGTAATTTGAGGTAGGTACCCCGCCATATTGATTGTCAATACGGCGGGTGTACCTTTGATATTGCTGTAACTTCTTAATTTAATAGCAGTAGAGCTCCTTGTGAAAGAGTTCGTCCAGGGAAGTACTGCCACCTTACTCGTATATATTTCAGCCGCCAAGCAGTAATGTCAGCATTACTGTGTTCCGGTTTTGAAGGGTAAGGGTGCTGGTTGAAATTACAGAACACGGAACTTGTCAACTTAGCATCTCAGAATGAAGGGCGCAATGGCAGTACCCAATCAGATCTTTGCGATTTATAGCTCTGAATGACACAGTTATGGTCAGGCGTGTAACTTACCATCAGGCACACGACTGTTAGTTCCATATCTTGACATTAAAAATAACTACGTTCTGTTCTGAAGGGCAAGGAGGAAGGTACAGACCCTTTGACTCTAGTGACCCTCCCTACCGACCCTTAGGGTATACGAGAAGGGCACTATTTTTAACTGTCTCAGTGGCCGAATGATTACCATGCTGGACTGCCACGCAGTCCGGCCGGGCCGGGAGAAATATTTGTATGGCCTACATTTATTTTATTAGTAAGTTGTGAGTGTAATTTGTGATTGTCTATGTGTGTGTCCATGGCACCCGCTACACAGGGTATCCCTAGTGTGGGGCTATGTTGAGTGAGTGCGTTATTTATTTGCTTTATTTTATTTATTTACTATAACCTGTGCGCACACAGGAACCCTATAAGTACTGGTTCTGAACTTATAAGGTAACCCCAGATCAGCCAGTGTACAGGGTTGTCATAGACCTCTATCACTTGACTTCATCCGGTTCTCCAGAGGCTAGTGCCGAGACAGACGCCGCGGCCACATGCTACTGGGGGAGACAAACATGTCCGTCTCTGCAGCTCACCACAAACCCCGGCGCGTATAGACTCACTGGACTTGGGTATGGACCCAAGTCCGGGATCACCAGAGACGCCCGTGAAGGCGTATCACTAGGGGATGGCTTACCCTGGACGCCCGCTGTACCCTGGTCGGACGTCGAGCCTGTAGTCTCTCCGAAAAACCCTGTATCTCGGGTCGGTAGGTAAGGTAAGTAGGTTAATAAATAGTAAAAGTTAGGTACATTTTTTGGTGATAAATTTGTCAGGATTCGTTAAGATACACCTGCCATTCTGACTTTCATGATATTTTAAGACTACAACTTTCTTACAATAATTACATTATTCCCTGAATAAAGTATGGTAATAATGGTATTGACATTATTCCCCTAATTTATTCAGAGATGAATTATAAATAAACTACATAGTTGATTAGGGTGCAGGAAAAATAAATAAAATTTAAATAATAAACGGCAAGTCGCCTGAGTCGCCTTCGGCAAGGCGACGTAATCTACTGAAGACGGCAGACGACTCGGTGTAAAAGGCGAGTCGTCTGCCGTCGATTTCGGCAAGCGTATTAGTCTGCCAAATATCGGCAGACAACCCTGTGTAAATACGCCATTATAACTTTGTGTCGAATGTCACCATCATTTGAAAAAAATTGAAGATTTGTCTTGATGGATTTATTCCGATGCCGTGAAACTAATATTTAAAAAAGCAGACGTGTTTCGGTTCGAATCTAAGGGTCGTATTCTAGAACTCTACTCAATGCTCAAGTCAGGATTGCAATGGAAACACAAGTACTGGAAGTACGACCCTAATGGCAGGGACTTGAGTATGATTTCGAGTGCTTTAAACCATACTCAAATCCTGACTTGAGCATTGAGTAGAGTTCTAGAATACGACGCTCAGGGTCATATTCCAGAACTCTACTCAATACTCAAGTCAGGACTTGAGTATTGCATTGAGCACTGAAAATCATATTCAAGTCCTTGACCCTAATGGCAAGCACTGAAAATCATACTCAAGTCCTTGCCATTAGGGTCAAGGACTTGAATATGATTTTCAGTGCTTTAAATCATACTCAAGTCCTGACTTGAGCATTGAGTATAGTTCTGGAATACGACTCTTAGAGTCGTATTCCAGAACTGTACTCAATGCTCAAGTCAGGATTTGAGCAGACTTGAGTATGATTTGAAGCACTGGAAATACGACCCTAATGGCAAGGACTTGATTATGATTTGCATTGCTCACTGCAATACTCATGTCCTGACTTGAGTATTGAGTAGAGTTCTGGAATACGACCCTTAGACTATTGGAAACTTATTTTATTTTATTAGATTCACTCTGGACCTTTTGGAGGGAAAAGTGT